TCAACACAAAAATTTGTGTTTCGTTTGGGACATACGGTATATGTTAAATTTAAGCTAAAAATTTCCAACAGTGTAATTGAAAGATTGTACGCTAGATTTAAAATTCGTCAGCGTATTCATATTTCCAATATACCGTTCACGAGGGACAGAAAGAATCGATGTATCGATAGTAAATATGCGAGGAACTGTACCGTGACACACGCGCTCCGACAGCGGTTAATCCCGATCCGAAGCGACACCGTGGGTACATGTACCGTTATTTCGGCTTCGAGGTTTTGTAACCGAGTGACCCAGACCCGTGCTGTGGACTCGCTCACATCGCCAGCGCATCGTTATTACGCGGAAATCTTTGACCGGTTTTTCACGTAGATTTTCTTGCCGCCATCACGTCGGCGATTCCTCGCGAAACTGGTTCCTAATTACCGCTACCGGTACTTCCAACAATATGTATATACTTGCGATTTGATAGACCTACGCTAAATGTGGCTATGTCCTTTTGAGATATTACTGTATCCAATTCTAATTTTGGACAACCAGTTATTTTGCAATTAAAATTTTTTGAAAATATATCTTTATAAAAATCTTTGTGTGTAATATAATCATCTTTTTACGCATCAATTTGTACGTAATTCATTTACATGACCTAAACTATTTTATTATCAGAGTTTTGAGTCTATGCGACATTTAAAAATTATATATGTGTGTGATATCATTTATATATATAAATAATATCACACACATATATAATTTTTAAATGTCGCAAAAATATTTTTTTAGAAAAGTATATACAGGGTGTCCGACATGTAAGTAGCCAAACGAAAGGTGGAGGTAGATTGGATCAAACTGAGTCGGAAAGTCCTGAACCATTCTTTTTTATAACACTTAATAAATGAGTTATTATTGAGTAAAGTCTGGCCAATCAGCGCCGATCTTTAGCCGGGCGCACGTCGGTGAGCCGCGCGCCTGGTAGTATGCGGCAGCGCACACTTCACGGCGTGCGGCTAAAGGTTGGCGCTGATTGACCAGATTTTACTCAATAATAATTCCTTTATTAAGCGTTATAAAAAAAAATAGTTCAGGACTTTTCGACTCAGTTTGACTCAATCTACCTCCACCTTTCGTTTGGCTACTTACATGTCGGACACCCTGTATATATATATATACAACCTAACCTAAAAAAATATTTTTTAATGAAGATATGTTGTATTAAAACAGTGTAAAATATCATAGTACTAAAAAAAGATACAAAATGCTTGGATGCTTTAATAATTCAATATATCTAAAAAAAGTGTCATTAAAATAACTTTTTAAAAAATCCGTACTTATATGAATATATATAAATGTCATGTAAATATTTATAAATATAATGTGAATACGTTATCTCATGTTCAATGTCAATGTGAATTGATACTGCAATTAACTCATTAGAAAATATATTGTGAGAAAACAAGTCCTTAAATAGTCTGTTTCAAGGCAATTAATCGAAAGATTATTCTGCCGATTAATATGAAAATTCTGTGAAATGTGCAAAGGCGAGATATATTGAAAGATAATTGTTTCACTCGCGCACGAATTGAAATATAGTATATAATCATCTGAGTCTTATATGAGCGCTAGTCGCATGTGAGAAAAAAAAAAATACAGTTTCGCGTGCGTGTAACTCAACCACGGTCGATCGCGACGCGATATAATGGCGAAAGTAATTAAAATCCGAGAAAAAAAAGCGGAGAAAAGAAAGAAATTCTATTGTCGGGATTGCCCGAAGTGGAACGAGCGCCAAGTCACCCGCTAAGTGAAAATAATTCATCATCTGGGAATCGGAAAGAAAAAAACTTTGTGGGACAATTGGCGAAAACGGCGAGCCAATCATGCATAAAAATTTGATTTATTACATTTAATGAAATGACATATACGACTAAAAATCGATTTTTATATTCTTTTTATATTCTAGGGGGAAGGGGGGGGGGATTGCGCCTTATTAAAAATAATTTCAAATTTTCCGTTGAATATTCTAAAAATTATAAAGATAAGAAGAAACGTGATATCATCGATATACTCGTATTTGAATGATTATGTTGTCCACCGTTTTAAAAATCGTCGCTATAATTCGTAAGATATATATATTTGTCGTCGACGCGGAATTTCGGCCATTAATTAAACCGTTCGCACGCATGCGCAGGAACGCAAGAATTATGTTCCGCTTCGTGAGAAATGCGATTCTCTCTCGAGAGCGCGTTTCGGATCGGAACATAATAACCGGAGGCTTTCACTCCGAAGATGTCAGCCTCGCACGGAGTTAAAATTAACGAAACGCCCCCGGAGCCTCTCCGCGCGGAGAAAGATCTTCTCTTCCTTTTCTTTTAACCTTAGAGTCCCAATTACGTGATCCGCGAAAGTGTGCGAGAATAGTCCTCTCTCATGATTATATTAATAATAAATCTTACAATAATTTATTTGTGTATCTAAGAAATAAAAGGAAATTTAATGTTACTAGCTTTGACACTTATTTTGTGATAATAAAATCATAAAAATAAAATCTGAAATAATGACACAGTATGAAAAATAAATCACAACTATAAAAATTATTATAATTTTAAATATATATATTCTTGTTTTTTATTTCTCTTTGAAATAAATGCTATAATTCTTAATCTTTGCAAATTTCTTCTGCGCGAAGAAAAAGAAAGAGAGAGAGAGAGAGAGAGAGAGAGAGAGAGAGCAACGATTTTTAAGATATATCTTTTCTTGTTTTTTAAATAGTTTGTGAGAAAAAAAGAATAATTATATCGCTTTTCTTTTATGGAGATTAATTATCCTTTAATATTGTTTATTGATTGTTTACAGTAATCGTTAATTCATTAGTTGGAAAATAATTATCACGAGAGAATCATAAAGCTAGTCCATTGTTTGCTATTGTATAGTAATTTGAAGAATTTATTAATTAGTCGAAATATCAATTATAAGAGAACCACGTTGCCGACCTTTCTTAAAAATCTAACGCGATCTTCCGCGATTGGCCTTGAAAACGTGGCAGGAAATCATTCCGCTAGTCGCGCGACCTCGCACGTGTAATCGATGAGATTATATCGCTTCTTCTCTCTCTCTCTATTTTTTAAGAATTGTTCATAATGCCTAGATGATAAGCAAGAATCACCCGATCTCTCAACCGAGATAATAAAATGACAGAAACGAATTCATAATTTTTTTTTAATAAAAAATGATTTATGGCTAAAATTGTTTTAATAAAATATAATTTTACCTTCTAATTTCTCGTTTTATTGATAGAACAGATAAGAAATACTGTTAGCTATTTGATTTCAAGCTGAAAATTTAGAAGCCATCTAACGGTTTGCAGATTCACAAGATATCTTTGATCGATAATTTTTATATCTATTAAAAAATCGTGCAGTTTTTCATGTTTTATGCATAAATACATTATCTTTGACTGTGTGTAATTAAAATATTTAGTAATAAAAATGCGCGATTATAATAGTTACAGCGAATCAAACAGAATGTGGTCCATCATGTCAGAATAATTCCGAAAATCGACAAATAAGTATGAAGTTTCTTAAAAACGCGGTTTGAAAGAGCGATTTCGCTTTAAAGGGTTAAAGGAAATCAGACACGGATCGAGAAAGATGCTTTCGCGTTTAAGCTTGTTCAGAAAAATGCATGGAAAATACATCATCGATAGCGAAAAGAATTTTCCCATGGAATACACGATGTGAATTTCATGTCGCGCGATATCCTCGCACAATTCGAGACATAAATCGCTATAGCCTTTGGCGCATTTCCATCGCGGCGATCCAATAGACTTTCCCCGCGAAGAAAAAGTTTGCCTTATGCGAACGAGTCTCTCTTGATCGGGAATGCTTTATATTTCGCCTAGTTAACATTAATATAGACAGTGTTCCGGAAATAGCGTCCTTTTTTTTCTCGGACTATAAATGATTACACACACACACAAACCAAATAAAAAGAAAAAAAAAGTATTTATCGAAACAAGGAAAGTATACTTGTTAGACTGAATAATACATTATCGTCGTCGTGCTTTTATGACGCGCAAATCCAACTCTAATGCGAGTCGTGGAATCTATAGAACACGTATAATGGAATTTGCGTGGGATCCCATCCAAGGCTCTTACAACGTCCGTTTGATTTACTCGCGAAGTAACGCCCGAACGACAAAAAGTCATAGCTCTTGAACTTATATTATACGATATTTTAGCGATTTGAAGAAAAGATAAATAAAATCGCTCTAAAAAGTTTCGAGAGAAAAATGTCTTTGACTTCGAAAGAACTTCCATTATTTATAAAAAATGACTAGAGAGTTAAATGTGAAATCGCTTAGAATCTCGTTTTCAAGTCAGTGATTTAAATGATGGCATCGACAAGTGCCACAGTCCCAGATGCATTTTTTGAAAGATTTCCATAGAGATCGTTCTAACGGGTTCTTGCGATTATTTAAATTGTCGCCGATAGAATGTGGCTACTGTTGGACTTATCGAGCATGACCAATCGGTAATTTTATTCACGTTGGATCGATCTGTGTTATGCCCTGGAAATTCGATCAATCGAGCATCACGCATGAATGCAAAAAAGTAGATCGTAATTGATAGAAGCCGCAAAAAGAAGACATTACGTATATATCTTCAAGCGTCATCCGGCGCTAATACATCCGAGCTCGATATAGTTAGTTAAAAATGAATATAAAATTATTCATTTCAAATCTAGAAGAAATATTCTAATATTTCTTTTCGTTCAAATTAATCAGGAATATAAATTATTTTGAAATTATAGACCTCATGATATTAAAAAAAGATTTTGATATTTTTTTCATTAACTGTTCCATTAATTAAGGAAAAATAGAATTTTCATATTTAAAAATAGAATTTTCATAATTATCTATAAATTATAGACATTGAAATTTTAAACATAATTGTCGAGATGATTTGTCCACGATGAGAATCTAATCTCTCGCTTTTGTAAGGCTGGGAAATCGCATAAACAGTTTCGCGCAAATTACGAACATAATAGACGGTTACGCGGTTACAATTCGATTATTTTTATCGACGAGGTGCCATCGTTCGCTCGCGCAGCTCACCTTCAAGCAACTAAACGTGCGTCATTTTGCTGATTACAGGACTAAAGTGCGGTCATCCGGCTGTGCCGATGAACGCCAAAGTATCGTTGTCGGACGAATCCTTAACGGTCGGCAGCGTTGCAAAGTACACCTGCGATACTGGCTACGAGCTGTTTGGGTAAGTACATATTCCCGTAAAACAATGCATTACAATAATACTTATATGAGCTTAGCACCTTACTTTTAACAAATTCAATTTTCAGTAGAGAAAATAATAGTATTTCGTATTTGTACACTGAAAATAAAATTTGTTTAAATCAAATAAATACATTTTGTTAATATTAATTTTTTTTACTTAAATAAATATATACTTTGTTTTTAAAAATGTTTTGTTATATTAAATAAATTATTATCTGCTTGTAATAAAAATTATAATTTTTAAATTTTAGTATAAAAAAATATTTTTATTTGAAGATACAAAATTATTTAATAAAATAAAGAAAACCTGTGTCTTTTAAACAAGCAGCCAAAAATTAAAAAATGGTTTTTAAATGCAGTAATTCAGTATAATAAAGATAAAAAAAAAAAATTTTTCGAATTTAGTAAATTTTTTTCAGTGAAAGTAGCTGTTTGTGGTAACAATAATATCATTCATAGTCAAAATCATAAAAAATATAACATTATGAAAAAACAATCCGATTTTAAGATTTAAAAAAATCCGAGGGGTCTCACTGTCGCAATACATGTACATTTTTTCTGGAATTACTTACGCATTGCTTTGCATTACGTCGTATTCGCATTACGCCGCATTACTTCGCATTGATTTACAAGTCCTATAGTACAAAACAATAATAACCCAGACAAGATTAAAACGTCTTAAAAAGTAATAATGTCATCGTTATAACGTCTTTAGAACGTCTTTTAGATACGCGTGAATAATTCTCTGAAAGTCCAATTTATGATTATTTATCAATATTTCAGATAAATAGATAACAACAAAAAAATAATTTTTTAAATTTGATAAAATAAATTAAAAATAAGGTATTGTTGATAAGAAAATCAACACTATGTTGGTGTTTTGCTATAAAATGCGGCCGATTATTGAATGTCCAGAGAAATGTCATTTAAAACTAAAAAAGAACTAAATAAAAGGAGTGCCAACCTAAGGGCCAATAAATAAAAGAAAAAAAACTCAAAATAATGACCTTTCATCTGAAAGTACGTCTTCTATAGTTGAACTCGAATGTAAATTTGTCCGTCGCATTATTTAAAATTACACGGCGTATTACATGAAATTACTTGGGTAATTCCTGGTAATTCGCAATACATGTACAAATTTTTGGTGAGTGAGACACCCCTCGAAAAAATCGCTGCCATATCTTGCTTCAGAATCGTTTATAAATGTTTATAATTGCGTTGTTTAAAAGTTTTATTATATTTACAATTGACAAAAAATGCAGCTTTATCAATTTCAAAAATATATCTCAAGTCCACTTTTATATTGTGTATGTCAGAGTCGTCTTGCAGAATTTTTTGCAATGATTTTTATTTGTTTATAGTTGAAATACTTTAATTAGACTAATTTAAAAGTTGTAAGATATTCGCAATTGTGTGGGACGAAAAACACAACTTTGTGGATTTTAAAGATATTTCAAATATTCGCGCTGTTTTTTAAAATTAAAATTAAAAAATAACTAAAAGGTAATTTTTGGCTTGTTGTCCCAAAACAAATCCAATCAACGACGACAACGAGACAACAACGAGTCTTTGAGTCTGATACACGCATTACAAAGTACTTACAATACACTTTTCACAGTAGTATATAATTCTCGCTCTCCACGGGGGGCGATTCTCGCAATAAATAATTTCCTTTAACCAGATTCATCTCAGCCATAGATAAGTAGCCAACTAGTTGACTGTGGAGAATTTAAAAGAGTTTAAAGAACGAAACTAATATTAATTGTAGCTACCGCGACTCCTTACGAACAGCGAAAAATATACGAAAGAAGTATACTAAATATTATAAGTACTTTATAGCACGTGTCCAAAGGTTCAGTTGACAACAATTATGTTTCAGTTATTTCTATCATTGGCATCTCGTCGCGGTTTATTCATGATAATGACGCAATGATAGGCTACGCCTATCGCGCGATATCCACGGATAATATTGCTTTCCCGGAAAGAATCTCGATCGACAGGCGTGCCATTCTCTTTGCAGCAGCGAATAAATTATAAAGGCAGTAAAATGAACTTAGTTAAAAGTAGTTGATAATATAACCGAAGAAAAATGGGATAAAGTTCCGAATAGGTGTTACAAGAACTACAACTTTTATTTGACACATTTTTTTCTTACATCAATATTTATCGAAATAATATTTAAAAAGTTATATTTTTTCAGTTTTTTTGTTTTGACCTTGAAAATGACCTTGTCGCAAATTTTCATTATCATATTCGTAATCAGCGTTCAAAAATACAAAAAATAGTGTAGTTTCAAAAAAATCGGAGGGTTCACCTATTCGGAACTCCACCCGAAAAATGATTCAGATAGATAGAGAGTTCCATTTGTGAAATTAGCAGCATTTTCAGAATTTTGATATAATCAATAAAATTATGAAATTCTAGGTCTCTTCGGGAAAAAATATAATCTATCAATTATATCGAAATTCTAAAAATAATAAGTAAAATAAAATGACCATGGTAAAAAAATACGAGATATCATCTCGTTGTTATATATGCCATTATATAATTAAATGTGACTTAACGATAAATCGCGTTGAACTTGGCACATTGGAGACTCTCCGCCTTCGATTCTAGGTAGTTAGGAATGCATTTCAATCATGAAACCTCGGATAGTATGTCATGTATCTTTTTATGGTACCGTTAACTACACTGTGTATGTTAATTAACGTTTCTTCTTTTCTTAAATATTATATCTTAAGTATCGCGTCAGGTTGAGCATCGTCGTCGCCAGATTCTAAAGTTTGCCATTAATTTCCAGATTGCATTAAGAGATAATATTTTTCTTTTAATTTTATAATCGCGTTTTTTGTAAATACATATGTTTATTATTAATGGTATTTCGTCATAGCAAATATTGACAGACCATCATAATAAAATTTAATTAATATTGCAATGACATCGTTCATATATGTATATGATTCTCAGAATAAAATTATAAAATTGCAATAAATTGATCTGACGGCTCAACGAAATAAGTTATAACAATATCTTATTGTGAATTTTCTGCAATCTTAATTGCAATCAAGGTTTGATCTCCATATTATATATATCACACTTTCCATATAAATATTTTTTTTAAAATTATATAATGGATTTGAAATTTCTGAAGATTATAGAATTATCGATTTTCGTTTCTTTTAAAAGAAATATTAAAAAATCATATCTGCAGAAACGGAAAAGGGAAAACATATAAAAAAACTAACTTTTTGTTGCAAAACTAATGCGAGAGAAATTCATAGGAACACGCGAGCGGATATTGGCAATCGTGTACGCGCGATCGGCTATATTTTCTTCTCGACGCGTGCAACGACGAACGGAATGCACGCTTCTCGTTGAGAATAGTGATTGTCTATAATGCGGTACACCACTAACTTTCTCCGTTTTCAAACGATTGGTGCAGGACGTTTTATTTAAAAAGAAAAAAAAAAATTATGGAATAATATAAGAGAATATAAAATACAAAGAATCCCATTCGCGTCGCATTCCTAGGTTTCAAACTACACTGTTGGAAAATGTGGCTTAAATTTAACATATATCGCATATCCTAAACGGTCTACACAAATTTTTGTGTTAATTTAACACAACATGGATATGTTAAATGGTGATACTATAATACTATACTAATATTTCAACACAAAATGAATGCAAATTTCATAGTAATTTGAAATAAATTTTGTGTAAAATTAATATATTTTTAATGATGAAATTAAAATTGTAAAAGTGTTATTGACAGTCTGTAGTCACACTTACTTCTATTGTGGAATAAAATCAACATTTTTTTTTCTGTAAATTTTAACAGATAAATCCTGTCACTAATAACACGGAACATATCTATTGTGTAAAATTAAAAATATATGCACATTGTGTTATTTTTACACTTATTTTAGTTGTTTTAATAATTTAACATTTGAGTTCAATTAACACAACAGCAATATGTTAAATTAACACATAAATGTATTAAATATTTAACACAAAAATTTTAACCGAAATATTTTTAACAAGAAAACCTAACCTAACCTAACAGAAATTTTTGTTCACAACAGGGTATAGTTTATGATAAAAAAATAACGCTTACGCCTACATTCCTTTCTCTGCTCAAAATAATTTTTCAAGACTCACATTAAACTCACCAGAGCTTTACTTAAATTTGGTGTCGTCAGAATTAAATTAAATTAATAGAACGTTTCTTAGAGTTTTCATCACATTATATATGATTACGCTAATGCACACTTTGTAAATAATCATGTCAATATAATTACAGGCATAAATATACAATTATATAATTGTAGCACTATCAAAATTTTTCTCAAGAAATCGCGTAAGCGTATAATAATTCTTTTCATAACTATTTGTGTAAATATAAATAAAACTTTTATTTATATTAAAATAGTTATGAAAGTGATGATTTTATTTATATTAAAATAGTCATGAGTTCTTTTTATCTCGAATATTTCCCTTGACAGCTTGGAAAAATGCAAGTACCACTGCCTCGCGCACTATCCTTCTTTCACTCGCAGGACATAATTACACCGATTATAGGCAGAAAGTTATAAGCAACATTTTTCGCTCCAACGGTCCGGCAAAAGATTTTTCATGCATAACACGCATAACGAAGCCGATACACCTGTTATCAGTTGCGTAACGTCGCGAGAAAGTGACGTTTGCATGGTCGCCGTTTCCGATAATACACATTCGGTATCCGCTTCAACTTTTGATAACTGTTACTTTCTTTTAGAACCGGCAGCTTGGCATGCAACGCCCGAGGAAAATGGCAGGGTGACCTACCGTTTTGCGGTGAGTATTCATTTTCTCGCGGTCCTTCCTCAAATCGATAACGACATCCTGTATATTGTACAAACTGATGTTCCACCATTATCGTGTCGGCAATTACACACCGCTATACATTTCGATAAGGTTGATTAATTCTCGATGTTCGTACAATATGTTTACAATATGCGCCTTAATTATGCTAATTATTAAGCATCTTTATAATTCGACCGGTGCATTCCCGTTCGTTTTCCATCAGTCTCGACTATAACAATCGACTTTCTCCATCGCACAAAATGAAGTTCGTTTTCGTGATATGACTGGAAGACATAAACGCGACAGGGATCGAACGAGAGTCGCATTTTCGTCGGAGAGAACATCAAACTGCCTGTCTTAAAATACCAATCAAGCCACTTTCCCTCGCTTTATACAAGGTGTCTCAAAATTATCATTTATCATTAATTCTCCCAGCTACGGAATAAAGAACAAGCAACGTGATAATAGTTTTCGTGCAATACGTTTTTAAAAATTGAAAAATGTCAGAAATTTTATTTATAACTGGGAGCTGTAAAAAAAATATTTAATTATAAAAATCATGGAATAATTTTGCTGGTTATATTATCGCGAAATAAATATTAAGTAAACCAGTTGCTCGAGAGATTTCTAAATAAAAGAAACAATAAACTGATTAAATAAAATTAATAAAAATTAGCTTATAAAATTGATATTATTGGAATTTTGGTTCGTATGGTTTTATTAGAGAGATATTATAATGACAAAACTGTAATTAAAAAGATAAATAATGCGACAGGTACGAATGTCGGTTTCCGCAAACCGGCGAATCAATCGACGACTGTGAGGGGCGGAAACGCAAATCACGGTAATGATGGTGACTTCAGTACGGAACACGACGGAAAAAGATGCACGGAAACTCAAAGCGAGCCTAGTCCTTGGTGGAGAGTCGACCTTCTCAAGCCTTATTCCGTCAAGGTTGTTCGAGTGACGACGCGAGGCTGTTGTGGTAAACTTCCGTATAATCCTTTTCATATTTAAGACTTAAAAGGATCATGATAGCATATTTTTCAGTTTAGCAGTGTCGTTTTTTTAACTAATTTTTTTTTTATTTTTTGATTTTGTATTAATTTTTAATTTTTGCGTAAGTTTCTAATTTTTATGTTTTTTTTTTGTATAAATTTTCAATTTTTAATTTTTGTATGAATTTTTTAAATTTCGTTTTTTGTTTTATATTATCTTTTCCTTTATTAAACTTTTTATATATATATCATTATTGGAATGTATACATATGATTGTTTATTTTATATCATCTTACATAATTTTTTATAATAAATATATGCCAGAGCGTTAGATATGCCAAGCGTGTATATTACAATTGTGCACTTTTAGTTAATTATAACAACTACTTTGTATAACAATTTTTTTAAACGGTTAAAATGTTTTTATTTAAATAATAATAAAAAAAATATTTAAAAATAACATTGTATTTTGTGTAACACTTTTTCATATGGCGCGTGCACTTTGCGCCTTTTTTTTTTATATTTAGGACTTACAATAGAAGATTCGTAACTCCCAATTACTCTACAAATTTGTCTTAAATTATAAATATCTTGATATTTAAACACCTTATTTTGTTACATCAAAAATTTTTTTATTCGAAAAAGACGGATAATTTTGCTCAATTTTAAACTAAAAAAAGATGATTTAATGTATAAGATAATTTTTTATCTCTCCAAGGCTATCTTAAGCTTCAGCCGCGTATACAATTATATGTTCGTTTTAAGATCTGACTATAACTAGCTTGAAGAATGACTTATCGATTGCTCGGCAGGTCATCAACCTCTTCAGGATATTGAGATAAGAGTAGGCAATAGCAGCGCTGAATTGCAACGCAATCCTCTGTGCGCCTGGTTTCCCGGTACTATTGGTAAGTGTTTCGAGAGACAGCTATAAACAGTATGGGCCGTTAATTAGAAAACGTTCAGAACAATCATTCTCATTTTTTGTTATTGCACCTCTTTTTAATGTATTATATAAGATCTACAAAATTATTCTCTGCATCAAATACTGTGAAAATCTTCGAAAAAGACGCCTGTTGATTATCTTACAAATTTATTTACCTAATTTATAAAAACATTTATATTTATTATGTATCAAATGTTGCAAAAATATTTGAAAAAAGATGTCTGTATTAATTATCTTAAAAATTTATTTATCTTAAATTATTCCACGATACATATTCGGAGTTCTGAATGTTTCCTGAAAAATTAAAGCGAATTAATTAAGACCGATGACGAATCAAACTCGCAGAAGAGGGCATCACAAAGACCTTCATCTGTGCCAGAGCTCTAGTGGGCCAATATGTCTTTTTGCAACTTGTTGGTGTCGAGGGTAGTTTGAGCCTCTGCGAAGTGGAAGTTTTCGCCACGGACGGTAAGTTTAAAGCTCCCATAAAAAGCTTGAATTTCGAGTCGAATTACATATATTTTATAATATATATTATATTATAAAATATATATAATATTAATATTATTATATATTTTGTTAAATAAATAAATAATAAAGAATGAAAAGCTAAGAAAAAAAAAATTTTAAAATTGGACGCAATAAATCTTCGCTAATGTGTACGATTGTGGAAGCGTATAATTAAGATAATATCAGAATAATCGCATGTTCAAGAGAAAGAAACGTTCGCTATGAAAAGGATTTATAAATGTTCGCAGAATTCTCGATAGATAGGTGTGCACATGCCGGCACGCCCGCCGACGCCGACTTGACAGCCTTCAATTCCACGTGTTACGAATTCATAGTGAAAAAGGGCGGCTCTTTCCAAGAGGCGAGGAACTACTGCAAGAATCGCGGAGGTGATCTCGTTCACGGTTTCCAGGTTGTTACAAAATTTATTTAGTTTATTTATATTTAGAACTTTCCTGTAAAAATATTTTTATCTCATTCTCGTATGAGATGAGTTTTTAATAATTTTAAAAAATTAGTGTATAGTACTATTGATTTTCATATTAAAATTTAAAGAAAAGATCCTTAAACATTTAGTGAAATTAAAAAAAAAATGATGATATTCATAATATTCGCAGGGCGTATCGTCTATATTTATCCTGAACAACCTAGAAAGGCGAAAGGATAAACTCAAGACCCAGCTGGTCTGGATCGGAGCCCAGAAGGAACCGCAGATCACAGCTCGAACGTGGCGATGGGTGGACGGTAAGTTGGCAAAGTTTCGGCGAGTTATTCCGATTATTAATGATCACCCGTGAGAATCGGGCCGAGAGGGCGGAATATTGGATAACCGGAGGTGAGATTCGGTAATCCGATTGTCGATCCAACGATTATCCGGCAATTACAGAACGATTACGCGACATCGTGTTATTTCGGAAGGGCGATTTTGCAAATTCGCATTCCAGCCTCGCTTCGAAAGAATGACGATCGCGTTCCGTAATGATGAGTCAATCGAGTATCGTATAATCATCGGGACAAATTGTATCGCAAGGTAGAATCGTTATGGGCTTGCAGCCGAAAGCATCGTCTGACGATAAATAGAACGTGAAAGTTATTGCCGTGTCGAAATCTACAGGAAGTTACATCTTCCAACGTGCATCAATTAATAAATATATATATTCCTACTTATGAAGTCATCCATCGTTAACACAACGAAATATGAATGATAATAATATTAATTAAATTAGATATAACAAAATATAGTCAGATAAATAATAATAATTGCTTGATAATTTATAAAAATAAAAATAAATTTTATTGTGTGTAAAAAGGCTGTTACCTTATGCCGAGTTTTAAATTTTATATATAATAAAATGCGATTATAATATATTATTATAATTAAAAATTCTTCCTAAGGTGAAAATAATACGTGAAATTAATGCATACTGGTCATATTACAGGCGAGATTGTGCAGAAACCATCCTGGGGCAAAGACCAGCCGAACAACTACAACGGCGAACAAAACTGTGTCGTGCTGGACGGAGGTCGCGGTTGGCTTTGGAATGATGTCGGTTGCAACCTCGATTACCTTCACTGGATCTGCCAGAGCAGTAAGTGTGGACAGGAATTTTTTCTGTGGACAGAGGAAAGTCGCCTGTCGTTATTGGAAAAAAAAAAAAATCGAAATCTGCCCAAAAATATTTCATAAAAATACCACGCGTGAAGAAACCTTTTATATTTTATTTATCCCATTTTGTTTTTTGCAGGACCACCTATCTGCGGCAGTCCCGAAAAATCGGAGAATACCACGATCGTGGGATCCAAGAGAGTGATAGGTTCCACAATAGAGTATGTTTGCCCGGACGGTTATATGTTACTTGGATCGAAGTCCAGAATGTGCGGACCGAGCGGTTTTTGGAGCGGCGATGTGCCTACGTGCAAATGTGAGTGTGAGACTTTAATGGCGCCTGGTCATTCGCCTTCGTAAACAACGTCATGCGACAAATATTTTAACTTTAAATTCTTTGTCTTTCTCATCGATCATTTTTATCACTACAAACTAATTGTAAGAATCACAGACGACCGTATAATTGATATATTAAATATAATAATCTAATATTAGATCCATTTTGTATAATCAAGATTGCAATGAATTATATCAAATTAAGAATTATGCTATTATATTTATAGATTTAATTATGATAATTTTATACCGATGATGATTTTTTTTTTAATTTTTGTAACAAACAATATAAGATTCCAAAAGACCTTTAAAGAATCTATGTGAACTTGGCCCTTCAACATTCGAAAAAAAAATAAAATTTCTATGCATCATTTGACTGTACATCGCACAAGTTTGCCGTTTTTTAATTTTTATTTGCATACTGGTAAATTATTTTTAAAAATATATTGAGAGATAGCATGAAGTTTTAGCTCCCCAAAAAATTTCTTTTTTGAATAATTATTTTTCTCTAGATGCAAATAAAAAATCTCAAAAACGATAAACATCTGCAAACAATGTGCAATTAAATGACGCATTAAAATTGAATTTTTGCGAATGTTATAGAATTAACTTCATGTAGATGTTTAAAAAACGTTTCAGAAATTTGGAACGGTTTTTGTATTACGTTATTTACATAAGAATATGCACAATTATATTTAATACTGAATATCCTTCGTAAATGTATGAGCCACATCTGTCACGCATGACCTCCATTATTCTTCAAATATTTTTACAGTTGTCGACTGTGGCGTCCTACCAGATTTGGAGAACGGTGCTGTCACGTTACTCGAGGACAGAACCACGCACGGCGCTCTTGCGGATTATACGTGTAAAGAAAATTACACGCTTGTGGGTGACACGAGACGAAGATGCGGAGACGGTGGTATCTGGAGCGGACACCAACCCCAGTGTCTATGTAAGTAGAGTATGTTTCTCACATTTAGCTTAAAATGGAGAGAGAGCATAAAAATTAAATATTTAATATACACACACACAGAGAAAAATATTTTTAAATTCAATATTAATAAATTATATTGAAAAATAATATACACATTATCTTAAGTAAGTTCTATCACAAATAAGATCAACTATTAATAAAGCAGTATCAAATTCTTGCCATGTATTTTCTGCATACAATGGATATATGTATAATTATTAATTATGTATAATTATAAAACCCCATGTGTATATTACTGCTAGTTAGAAAATAATTTCATGTTAGCGTTTTAAGTAAAGAGTCGCGTTTCAGTATACTTTCTACCTTGTCATTCCGTCTGTGATTACACGGCTAATTACTTTTCAGTCGACTGGTGTCCCGAGCCACCGGAAGTAAACGGTGGCATCGTGACAACTACCGGAAGAAGAGTGAACTCCACTGCCACTTATTCCTGTCAAAATGGATTTATTTTATTCGGTGACAATGTAAGTTCCCAAGATTTTTTTTAAATTAATTGTGCTTACAATTATGGTTTTAACGAGATTTTTTAAATTTATATATATTTAAGATACATATAAATATATATTAAGAAACGAGATAAGATATTATATATATGCGATTAGAGAGTAAGAGAGTAGTAAAAAAAATAGAAACTTTGGGTAAAAATTCGGTAAAAAACTGTTTGTTTACTCCTCGAAAAATGGGTTTTTTATCCCATTAACTACTCAGAATGTCCATTTTTAAAAATTTATAGCAAAAATCTAATTTTGATGTTTATTTATTTACCTTTGATGCACAGTTTTGAAAAATGAGCGTTAAATTTATTAAAATTAGGTATCATATTCCATGTCCTGTGTTATTCTCACTTCTGGTCTACAAAATAACAAAAATAACAGTTTAACTATGCTTAAAAAAGTTTTCTTTTAACTTTATGAAACTTTAAAAATAACTCTCAAAAAAATGTCTTGCTGATATAGGTAGATTTCTAGGTGTCACAACAAAAATTTATCGCTATTTTTTGTATCTGTTAGAATATTGTCTGTTACATATAGAATTTATAGCAGCAATATT